GTTATTGTTTAATAATAATAATAGGTGGATGCTTTCAGCAAACAGGAGCATTTGCTTGGAAGTAAATCCCCTTGCATTTTGACCTCTGTGGGAGTACTGACAATCCTCTGGGAGTAAAGGTGTGCATTGAATTTTGGTACTGACTTTATATCCAAGCTTCTATTTAATTTCTATACCGCCTAACAGCCAAAGCTCTCTGGGTGGTAAACAGTCATAAATACAACAAATAAGCATGAAATACATTTAACATTTTAAACATTTTTATAACTATGAATTAAAATCAGGCATTTACCAACTGCTAGACCTGCTGGAAAGCAGCAGGCACTCCTGCTCCTATGTGCTACCTGGAGCCAAAACGGCCTTGGTGGGGAGACAACTTCATAATCTGGGGGCTACCAGAGAACCTCTGCCCTGTTGCCACCCCCCCCCCCAACCCAACCCAACCCAACCCTCCCTTGGAGGTGGCATTCGAAAGAAGGCCTTGGATGTTCAGCAGTGTTAACTCTACTGAAGTTCTTTTCTCCTGCCCTAAGACCTCTTAGGGCAGGGATAGCTACTTTCCTGTCTTCTATGCAGTGGGTACTCCAAACTGGAAGGAGACCAACAGTATATTTTTCACACAGCATTGGATATGGAACTTGAATGTTGGAGCAACTGCTTGATGCAATAGGGGCAGGAGACTTCAGACTTGTAGGAGCTACCTTTTGTTGTTACCAGAAGTACCCCAATCCAGAAATACCCCAATCAAAGCCAAAAACAAATTAGCAGCATGTGCTAAAACTTAAGGAATAGGATGCCCCTAAGCTCTGCTCAATAATTTGCGATTCCTAATAGACGATCCTTTCACACACAAAAAGCATTCCTGTTTTTTTCTCACCCTACCCCCACAAGCATAATTTTTCAGCAGCCTAATGTAGGGAAAAAACCTTTGCAAGTGTTCAACTACAAAAAGTACTCTTGAGTACAGAGCAAATCTATATCCAGAGTACAGAAAGCACATCACCCAAAGATGATATGGATCACAGTCTACTTTCTGCCCATCCTTAACATATAATAACTAAACAAAGTTATAATAGAATTCTAAGCACCAGATTATAATCCCACTTACAGATGTTTAGCATTAATTTAAAATATAAATCATTGTAATTCAAATATTCTCAGAACACTTTACAAAAAGGTTAACATTAAAAGGTTGAAATAACAATAAGCCAGAGTCCCAGTACTTGATATTAAAATACAATGATTAAAATATATTACCTAACAATTAAACTGGGTAAATAAAAACATTTTGGCCTGATGCTGGAATGGATAAGACATTGGTGCCAGGCAAACTTCTCTGAGGAGCTAAGGGTACTATAGCAGAAAAGACCCTTCTCCATATGGCAGCCCTCCTTACTTCTTTCAGGGGGAAATTTTATAGAAGGACCTCCTCAGCTGACCTTATGATCCAGGCAGACTCGTACATCCCTTTAGGCTCTAAATGCTGTAGGCCTTTATATCAACAGCACCTTAAATCAGGCCCAAACTTCAATTGGTAGCTAGTGTAACTGGTATAAGACCAGTGTAATATGTCCCCATCTACCAGCAGCACCATGGCAGTTCTATTTTGAATCAATTGCAGCATCTGGATCATTTTCAAAGGCAACTCCACATCAAGTGTTACACCATATTCCAACCAGGTGATTACCAGTGTGTGGATTACTGTTGCTGGGACTTGTCTATCCAGGCAAGAGTGCAGCTGATGGGACCAGCCTCAGCTGGAGGAAGGCACTCTTTGCAATAGAGGCCACCTGGAATTTCAGGGAAAGTTCTGGGTTGAGGAGTACTTCCAAGCTGTGCACCCTGCCCCTTAGGGAGACTGCAACCCTTCAAGACAGGGGTAAATATCACTCACCTGAACAGATGCCCCACCCTCCAGTAACACTTCCCTATCTGGATTAAGCTTCAGTTTATTGGCCCTCAACTACTCTATCACAGATACCAGTTTAGAAGTCACTGTCTCACCTAGATTAGATGAGAATGAGGTAGAGCTGGTTGTAGCCCAAACCGCTGGATCCCACTAATATGAATTCTGTGTACACCTATGTGTTCGTTAAAATGTGTCATGGCTATCTCGGCCATTATGTTGTCTCAAAGTCTGTGAATATATCAATCTGCATTATTTTTATTTTTAGTGTCAAGGGCATGCACTGATGCCATTTGGGCTTTTGCAGCCTCAGATGCCCTGCTTCTCAATTGCCCTAAACAGAAAACACGGAATTAGCTATCCAGGTTATTGGCACAACTGGCTTTAACCTGCTGTCATGGCTGAGTGGGGTCTACAAAACTGGACTAGTTTTTTACTGCATCGGACACTAAGCCAGAGATGCCCTCTAGATGTTTTGGGGTGTAGTTTCCATACTTCCTGGTCCATCTGACTTGGCCCAATGGAAACTGTAGCCCAAAACATCGGTAGGACCTCCCTCTGCTCATGCAAGTGTACCATTTTGGCTCAGAAAACAGGAATAGGTTTCCCATCCCACACTATTTAGTCATTATCCAGAGGAGGGGAGTCATGTCATGTTCTTTTACTTCTTGTTCTTCAGTAATTTCCCATGTTCATCACAGTTAAATAAAAGTCTTAATGCACCTCAAGAACAAGCTAAGGCTTGCACGATGAGGCTTTTCAATTGCTCTTGCCTATGGGGAGGAAGATCCAGGCAGTGGATTTTTACCAAAGAATTGTTTTTTATATTTCATTAACAAGTAGCCTTGGGGTGCCTGGTGCACTGGTAGGATAGCAACTTTTCCCAAATGTATTGTGCACTCATGGTAAAATAATTACCGTACAGTAAAAATGAAGCAAATAAGCTCAATTAAGACACAGGTAACGCTTTTGTGCTTTTTACTATAGGAACGGTTGTAGCATAAACTCCTTGTGCAATTGAAAAAAAACAATGACAGCAACAGAGTAAAATATTGTACATTAACAAAACAGTTCTGGTGCTCAGTACACATGCTTCCCATGAGTTAAAAAACAAAACAAAAAAGCAATCAGCAACTCTAGATACTATTTACCATTTGCTTCTTTCTCTTGTCTTATTTGGAGAGTAAAGCTACTCTGGCCCCTTTTACTTCACAGCAGGCCACTCTTGAGCAGGGGCAGTTTTACAATACTGCTGGCTAAGAGGCAGACATGCCCTCCCCTCTTCCAGCTCTGTCATTTAAAAGAATACTTAGTGAGGCTAATCAGAAGAAAAATGAGTGTCCCACAGTTGCATAGAAAAGAGCACATAAGAAATAATTTCTTCTGATTACTATACTCGATTGATTTGTCCTGCTGGAGACCGAAATATCCCTACACAAGTAATTGTAAGGAGGGATGCAGTAAATGTTTCTTCATATCAGACTACAGTGACCACATACCACACTGGCCATAGGTTTTAGGCTCAGCAGATATGTCCCAGCTAAGAAAGCCATTGACTCAAGAATTACAGACCTGTTTCTAAAGTTTATAATGTCAGTGGCTTATGAAGTGCTTATGAAATGAATGCATGAACGACTGGGCTCACTGAGAGGATCTGTAGTGCAATGGAAAAACACCGTCTAGTGGCAAGGCTGGGTTGCTGACTATTCTTCATGGATTCCTTTGACTGGTCTGTACCTTGCTCAGGAACTGGCAAGCAACTTAGTGAACACCGTGTAACTTAGTAAAGAAAAATATTGCAATGCACAGCTGCGTGCATTGCAGCAGCATAAAAGCAGCAGTTGTGGATGCTTTTAATTTTCTTGTCTTCTCCTTCCTTCAGACTATCTTCATTCTCCTTTCTAACCTGAATCTCTATGCATTTGTTCCATGTTATGTTACATCTAAACAGTGTCACTTCCTGGATTATGTCAGGCTCTGTCTTTAATGATTTTGGAGGTCGCGGAACTGACCTGTTGCAAAGCCTTAATAACTGCAACTTGCCATGCAGAGGCAGGGAAGTTCAGCCTGCTTGGAGTCATGTCACAAATTACTACATAAGCCCAACTAGAGACCATCCTCCTTTGCCTCAGTCACCCTCCTCTCAACATGCAGCTGACAAAGAAAATAATTATCAGGAAGCAGTGAAGTTGGCAAGGGGGAGTCTCAGATCAGTTTCTTGGGACAGGAGTAAGATATTCCATGAAATGTCAGATAGGTGCAAAACAAAAATAAAGGGACTGGCAAGAAGGGGGACAGAGAGAGAAAATGGACAGCATCTAAGGTGTCCAGATCTCCAGATCTGAGGTCAAAGAAGAGCCCTGACCTTGGATCTGGGGATCCATGTTTGGACTCCCCACCCCGAGAGAAAGAGAGAGCTTGGAGAAGAACTTCAGGGGGCAAGAAGGAAGGTAGGGAAGGGAAGTGGCCAGCACCACCAGGACGCAACAGATGCTGGCAGTGTTTTTGTTGCCACCTGCCTCTCTCTCACAACGGCAGCAGTTGAAATGACTAGTCTAAGCCACTTTGTATACGATTGTGGGGGGTGACCTTCACCTCAGTGCTCCTCCTACACTGCTTCTGATCCTACGAGCTGGAAGGGTTACAGGGGTCCTCATGGACTGTGCCCAAAGAAAGAGATAGCCATTTAGTGAGCAGAAGCTTCCTTCCTATATTGCATTGAGGAGGTAAGTCTCCAGTTTCTGAGCTTTTGAGGAAGGATCTATACATCAGGTAATCAAGGACAGGGAAGGTGACAAGTTCCAGCATTTGCATGTTTCCTTCATGAAAATGGCTTTCCATACACAGTGCCTTTTCCTGGAACCAGCCAGGGTTGATTGGATGGAAGTCAAGTTCAGAACCACACATGCACACACACGGATGCACTGGAGGCAGGAGGAGAAACAGGGAAGAACCAGCCTTTCTGAAGTGCCAAGATCTCTTCCTTATGCCAATAGGAAGTGAAGGAGGTGGAAAGCTCGGGGCGGGGCAGCAGCGCTGCAACTTCCAAGGGAGAAATTAAAGAAAGGGAGCATGGGAGGGAGAAGCCAGCTGCCTAAGGGCTAGCAGTGTTCTGACCTCCTTGAATTGGCAGAGGTGCTTGATAGTGCTGGAGCGCAGAGGTGCCTGGTAATGCGGCTGCACTGGGAGACACATTTGGGAATGGATAACCATCTTCCATCTTCACAGTGGCATACTCCACACTGGCAGAGAAGCCATGATAAAAGTTCATCTTTTGCTGGCTGATGTAACTGATCGCCTGTTGGCTGTAACAAGTTCCAGCAGCTTTCCCAAAGAAACTCCCATCCTCACCACTTACAATCGGGCAGAAGTTCTGTGGACTACCATAGATCTGGTGGTCACTGCCATAGCTCTGGTTGCCAGCATAGTTCTCATGTACACTGGCCAAGGAATGGACATTCCTCCCATCACTGATGCCATAACCTTGGTGATAACTGGGATTTATATTCAGGTAACTGTTCTGTGAAAGAAAGGTAGCAATGTTTCAACTCAAATAATGAATGTGATATTCAAAGAGCATCACATGTTACCTCAATAATTATTACAACAATTTGGTAAATCAGACTGTTGTTATCCTCATATTGCGATTAGAAGCAGAGAGTGGTAAAGGTCATCTAACATATTTATGGTAAGAGAAACTTCCTTTATGCTATACAAAATTGAACTACCTTTCCTCTTTGCTATGAATCGGTGACCTATAACATGTAAAGCATGTCTTCTACCCATTCTGACATCACGTAATTTGCCTAGGCCTCACTGCAAAGACCTCACCTTTGAAAGGTTGTCACAGAGGAAGAGACCAGGACCTCTTCTTGATCACCCCATTGTGGAGGACACAGAATAATGGGCTCAAGTTACAGGAAGTCAAATTCCAAGCTGAACACGAGGAAGAACTACTGGACAAATGAACCAATGACCTAAGGGGGTTGTGGACTCTCCCACACTAGTGGCATTCAAGATGCAATTGCACAACCACCTGAGAGATGGTTTAACTTGGGAGTCCTGCACCAAGCACAGGGTTGGACCTGATGGCCCCCTGGCCCCTTCCGGCTCTACTATTCTATGAATTGCCCTCTCAGTGGAACAGATGATAAAAATAACTTCTGCTGATCAATGACAGGCTGCCTCATTACCTGAGACGGGCACATGCCTTTTCTCATCCACAGTGTTTCTTTCTGGGTTCTCTTCAATTTCATCCGTTGGTTCTGAAACCATGTTTTTATCTGGAACATAGCCCAAGGATAAGACCCTGCTTAATTAGTCTCTCATCAATGCACACACAGACAGACAAATGCAGTTGTCCTAGTTCTAAGAAAAGTAAGCTAAACAGGCAATAGGATGCATATTTATAAAATATATTGATACAATAAATGTGAAATGAGTTTGTCATTCCTTCTTTTTGAGAATCCTTGAAAACTGCAGTTGTGTGTGGATCGGTAGGTTCCATAATTGGAATTAGAGGAAATTATGGAACCTACCCATCCACATGTTTGTTTGTGGATGCCACTGTTCAAGCAGCCCAACCAGCCCCATCCACACAAAAAAGGCAACCAAGAAAAAGACCCATTGAGATGGGTCTAGTAGTTGGACAGAGCCTGGATTCAACCAGAAGTCTTCAGGGAGACCTCTACTGGGATGAAGAATGCAAAAACAGCTCAATGAAGCCATGGAATGTGCAATTGCTATTTAAGGGAATGGAATAGCCTCATATTGGAAGACATGGGACATATAGTATTGGTGGACATGGTAAGACTGGACCATAACCAGAGCACAGCATCCTGCAACATTGTATTGCAAGTAAAGCTTGTATGTCTCTAAAAGACTGACTCTTTGCTGTGCAAGGGTCCCTGGCCACAGTAACTAGAATTAATGCAGAGGAGTAAATGCTATAGTTAAGTCTTCTCCAGCAAGGTGCCTTCCAGATTATGTTGTAGGTTATACTGTTTGGAAAAGGTGGTTATAATAAGACCTAAGCTTTAAAAGGTCTCAGGCCAAAAGTATACAAAATCAGTTCTGACTGTACAAAGACACCGCTTGAATCAGCTGGCCAAGGGCTTACTTGTTTGTAGGTGAGCTCCAAGGCAGAGGCCAGTTCCCGGATCTGTTGTGGACTGAGGTATTTCTGACTCTGGAATCTGTGGTGGAGGATCTGGAGTTGCTCTTGAGAAAAAGCAGTGCGAGTTTTGACCTTCCTGCCTCCTGCACTTTCCTCTTTGCGTCTCTGGGGAGTAGAAGATGGCTGTGGGGAAGAGAGTTGCCTGTTGGGGCTGGTGGCAGAATCTGGTGTGTAAAGAGTGAATACGCCAGAGCTGGAGGACCTTGGAGAGAGATCTGTGGAGCAAGCAGACTGTAAATGAAGAATGCAGAGTACAAAAGGCCACATTTTCTTCAGAAAAGAACATATAGGGCAACACAATACAGACACAGTGATCTCTTGTCTGATGCACCTACATTGATGAAATACAATCTAGTTGCTGAAGCTTGCATCAGGCAAGAGTTAATAGTACCCAATTCAGACCCTTTATGAAATATTCAAGATTGTGCACTCCTGACAAGAAATTCACCCTAACCCTTAATCTTCTTATATAAGAATCAAACCACCCTTCCCCTAAACTAGTGCCCTCCAGAAGTGTGGCGTAGTGGTTAAGAGCATGGGACTGGGACTCAGACGATCTGGGTTCTAGTCCCCGCTCAGCCATGGAGCCAACTGGGTGGCTTTGGGCCAGTCACAGACTCTTAGCCCAACCTACCTCACAGGGTTGTTGTTGTGGGGATAAGATGGAGGAGGAGAATGATGCAAGCTGCCTTGAGCCCTTTGTAGGAAAAAGGCAGGATATAAATCACAATATAAAAATAAATAAAAAAGCTCTGGACTATGGTTCTCATTATCCTAGACCGGACCATCCCATGCTGGCCAAGGATGATGGGAGTTGTAATCCCCCATCAGGTGCAGGGAACAGGTTGGGGAAAGGTGATCTTACTTTTAAGATTATCCCTCCCACTGCTCTGGGGCCGACATGCTTCTCCCATCTTAACAATTGTATGCAGTGAATGTTACCACTTTTATTTGTAACTTATTGAAATCCATCCTATTAAACTGTCAACAACAAGGAACTAGATGCAGCCACAGTTTAACACATTTTAATTCCAATTGCTAAAGTGGAGTTGCTCTTGTTGAATCACACTTAAATGCACTTAACTGCCCTATAGCCAATTTCATTTGAATGATCCATAAAATACTTTTTTAAAAAGGTTGATGGTAAAATGCAAGTTCCAGCATTCATAAGAGGATCTAAGGACTGGATAAGCCAGGAAAGCTCAGACGTTCCGTTCACAAGCCTCTTGGGAAAGTGATTTGTGGATCAAAGACAGCAAGGAACATGCCCGCCCGTCCCACATCTTTTTTACTTATTTGGAATTTTTGTATGCCGTCCCATTCGCATAAGCCTCGGGACGGCTTCCAACATCATAAATACACATACAAATAAATACATATAAAATCTGGATGCATCCCGGCTAAATATTTTAAAACCAATAAATAATATCAACAATTATTAAAATATCGTTCAAATAAAAAGGTCTTGGCCTGGCGCCGAAAAACAAATAACGGCGGCGCCAGGCGGACCTCTCTGGGGAGCGCATTCCATAGGCGGGGCGCCACCGCAGAGAAGGCCCTCCTCCGGGTACTCGCCCTCCTAATATCTTTCTCGGAGGAGGGCCTTAACAATCTTATCTTGTTGCAGCCTGAAAGCCACTGTATTGCGCCAACTAGCCTAGAGTTTTCTGTGGACTGGCTGCTTCGGTTCCCAGTTGGTGGGCAGCTTCAAAGGCAGACCAGTTGCATCCGTGTAAGGGAGGCTTTTTCCCGTCTCTTCCATTCGCCTCTTTGAGAAATCGGGAGCGAAAACTGCGAGACTTACGCTGCGAGACTTACTTCCGTGTAAAACATGCACCAGATCAGGCCTGAAGCCTATCCCTGAAAGTAAACAGCAGGCTACTATTCCATTCAACATTCAAAGTACTCCCACTGAAATTGCCGCCGTGTGAACTCTGCAAATCCTGTGCTCATTAGTTAAAATCTGGAGGGGACCCGCTTCTCCCACAAGTAAGCAAATTTAAGAGCCCATAGGAGGGCTGCAACTCAAACCGCGTTTCCTGGAAAGTACTGAAGTCGCTGCAATTTATTCTGGAATAGCATACGATTGGAATGTGCAATCCCCTCCCCCCCGATTAATGAGCTTACCTGCCCCACTGCAGCCCAGATATCAAACCAAGAACTCGCGTGAGTGGCCTACCTGGGTTATTACGAAGAGCTTTTTCCTCCTGGCCGCTTAAAGCTTCCTGGGCAAGGAACCCTTTGGAGCAATGAAGTGGCTCCATCTCCTCCAGAGAATGCCAGCAGTATTCGTCGTAACCCATGCCGGCTCCAGTCGCTGCCCCGGCTGGGTAGACCAAGTAAGAAGCATTGATCGTCAGGGGGGCATTCATGGATGGAGCGACTACAGCGGGGCCCTGCAGAAGACCTGGAAAGCACCAAAAGAGCAAGTGTTACTTGGGGACCTTTTAAGACCAACCTTGCAACGGACTGCCTTTTCTAAGCTATTGTCATGCTAAGAGTAGGCAGGGAGTGGCCTGGGCAGTGCGGGATGGGGCGGGGCAAAGGCGGGGTTTAGGGGGATGCTTAACCTAGATTGTGCGTGCCTACTCAGAAGTAAGCACCAGTAAGTGTATTTCGGAATGTAATGTAAGCCTTGCAAGGCACTGGCAATGGGCCCCACTCCCCAAGGAGTCTACTTTTACATCACCACCACTGTTGCTTGATCTCCTCTTCCTCACCACTGAGCTATCCTGCTTGCTTGCTCGGCAGAGAATGCAAGAGCTTGTTGGCTGTGGCTGCTTCTTCGGTGTATGGCCATATTGGTTGGCCAGAGCAAGAAGTAAACCAACAAACAGGTTGCAGTGGTGAAGAGGAGGGTGAGCAGGTTAGAGGGCTGTTCTTACTGGACCCTGGATGGTTTTTAGGCCCTCATTAAATTCCCAGTAATGCCAGCCTGGGATGCTGGTCTTTGCACTTGTTATTGGCCTTATTGGAAGTGCTGTTTACCACTTTAAGCAGGCTCACCAGCCATTCCTTAACTTGAGAGCTTCCTAGTTGTAGCTTTAAGCTAAGATTAGTATAAAGCACTCTGGCTGGAACTGCCCTTAGGCTTGGCCCAGAAGCTGTGCCTGGTGCAGTCACAAGGTTACTGATAGAACAAAGGAAGAGCCCTGCAGGACCTCATCTGGGGTTCATTTAGTCCAGCATTCTGTCCACCAATGGCCCACGGGATCCCTCAAGTTGGATATCAATACCACAGCTCCCTCCTGCCCAAATTCCCCAGCAATTAGAATATGTAGGCATATTTGCTGCCTTTGGGACGTTCAAACATCTCCTTCCTTATATGCCCTCATGCCCCTTAAGATTTGCGGGAGAAGCCCTGCTCTGGGAACCCTCTCTAAGTCATCAACGCAGGGTAGGGCCTTCTCTGCTGTGGCGCCCAGACTCTGGAATGTACTTCCCAGAGAGGTAGGCCTGGCATTGAGCTTATACTTCTTTTGGCACCAGGTCAAAACCTTTTTATTTAACGGTATTTTAAAATCAACAGCTTTTAACGTTCAGTCACTCTTGTTTTGTTTTGTGATTTATGTTTTGTCTTATATATTATTCTGTTTCAATTTATTAGAAATTGTTGTGGTTTTAATTGTTCTTTTAGACATTGTAAGCCATCCTGAGATGTTTATATAATAGGATGGCATATAAAAGCTTTTAACAAACAAACGGTGTCTACCCTTTCCATTGGCACTCAAAGAGTTCTAAAAAATTAATGAGGTACTGTAATTGTTGCACCATATGCTTACTGCTTATCTTTAATAGCACTTTCAATCAATTTACCTTGAGCAGATGATAAGCTCAGGAGTTGCAATTTCCCAGATTCTCCTGGTATCCATATTTAAACATTGGTGTTGCATTGGTCCTTCTCCAGGCCTTTTCAGATCTTAGAGACAGTTTACATATTTGTTATAAAACTGTCTGCAATTTCATGTTTGAGCTCTTTAAGAACTCTAGGAAGGATACCAGGGTCTTCTTTTCATTAAAGTGCTACACCTGTACTAAAAGAACACTCCTGGCTGCTAGTAATCTACAGGGCCAAGTTTAAGAGTTTGTTATCAAGAGACTTGGGAGCTGTTTTCCTTAGGGACTGTGACATCCTTTATATCCCTACCCAGTCCTTGTAGCCTTTGCCTGCATTAGAGGTGTTGTATCCTGTAATGGAGCTTTCAGCATTGCAGCACCTGCCCTCTGCAAACCCCTCCCTGTTGACCTGTTGTTCTGGTCTTAAAGCATTCATTCAAGACCCACAGCTTCATGCTGGCTTTCCTGGAGGGGTGACTCAGCCAGTATACTTACATCCAATTGGCAATTATTTCATTGCACTTTGTTTTATTTTATGGTCTTAATGTTTTTGTTATCCACTTTGATTGTGCACTGAGATTTGTGTAGTAAAATTATTTCGTGTGCCATTCTTAAAACTCTCTTTAGAAATAATTAAATAATCAGACAAATTGAAGGAGGACTGGTCTGTTAATGAATGACTGTTACATCAGATGAGAGCAGAAAGAGCTGGGCCAGTATACCCAGTAAATAGGGAAAAGCTATTATTTCACAGCTGGCTTGGAGACTGCATCCAACTGCTAAAAAATCCTCATGATCTTAATGTAAGCCAAAAACTAAAGTAGATGCCCTCTCTCCCAGTGGATGTTACAATATATAGAATCATACAATAGTAGAGTTGGAAGGGGCCATGAAGGCCATCGGGTCCAGCCCCCTGCTGTTGCAGGACACCACCATCCCACTCAGATGGCTGCCCAGTTTCTTTTTGAATGTCTCTAGTGTGGGAGAGCCCACCACCTCTCTAGGCAGCTGGTTCCACTATATTTCAATAGCGTTAAGAACAGCTTCATGGCCTGGCTTGTGGACCTGCTGGTGAGATCATTCAGGCTGGTGGGCATTTTCAGTGGTTGAGGCCCATGCTTATGGAACCACTATGTGCCCTATCAGACTGCAGAGATGTGTGCAGTGCCCCATCAGTTCAGGCCTGGAAGTTTCTTTTATTTCAAGGAGTCCTTTATGCTGTAATGCTACTGCTGCTGTTGTTGCTGATTTTAATGGTATGGTACTGGCCTGGTTTTTAATTATGCTGCAGTTTTAATTGATTGTTTTATGGAACTTATGACACTATTTACAACAGTGCATTTTGTACTTTATACTTTTTATGTGAACAACTTGGAGAGGGTTTTTACTCTAAAATGCAGCCTCTAAACATTTAAATCTGCAGTGGGGAGCCTCTGGCCCATGGGCCTTATCTAGAGGGAATCATGGTCACTCATCTGAGAATGCAGAGAGTGGTCCTATTAATTATATCCTCCATGTTCATAAGCCTGCGGACACTTAAAAGCACCCTGTGCAGAGGAGTGACAAAGGTGATCTTTTCCTCCCTATTCCTCCAGCAATTCAGCTAGATGGATGATATTGGCCAACTAGCTGCAGTGGCACTTTGGAGAGGGAAGATAAAATGTCACTAGGACACCTCATGCCCAGTTTCTCCCCTCTCTGCTTTTCTGACCCCAGAGAAGCAGCTGTTGGGGGAGGGGAGGTGTTCTACACTGCCTGCAATGGCAGGAGGGGGAACAGAGCACAGATCCCTGGTTCTGAGATTGGAATTCTGGGAGCCCAAAGAATCCCATGCCCCGACCATAGGATTGCTCTCTTAGGTAAATATTTCTCTTGCAAGTGTAAAGAAGTTGCCTGGCTGTTGTTCTGGGAGAGTGGATCTTTTTAGGAGGGGAAAAGGGCTTGGGAGAGAAGCTGACAGAACAGATGGATAACCATCTGTGGTGAGAGAGGATCTTAAGGCTGATGGACTCTTTCTTCTCTTTCCAGCCAAGGTTTGGTATTGCAACTATATCTGCTTCCAATTAAGTCAATACACAGGGGAGGAGACCCAGAGTTTCAGGGAGAAATAAGAATTGTCCATCCATTCCTGGTGGCTGATCTTTGGTGGTATAGAAACTACCAGCTCTGTGCTTTGTGAGTCTATTTCTGGAATCATTTTCTTTGTGGGCATATTGGAAATGTATCAATCTAGGTTTCATAGAAATTGCTTCTGATTTAATATCTTTTTCCTTATCTGAACTTCTGAAGAATAAATAAATGAGAAAACTGATCAGATAAGATGAAGAATGTAAATTCACTCCAAATGCAATTTATTCTGGGCACAAAAAGTTAATTTGTAGCCAAATGTCATCTCTAGTTAAAGAGAAGCATGTCTGCTTGTGATTCCAGGGATAACATGGCCCTTTTTGCAAATGAATGATGAAGACAGCCTGATTCTTACAAAGAATCCCACCCTGAGGCTGCACTGCTATGCACACTTACCTGGGAATAACCCAAGACAGGAGGGCTTCCTTTTATGTAACCTTGCATAGAATGGTATTGTGAATAAGTCCATTTTGAGGTATTGCTGAATCATTTACTAGTTCACTGCTTGTTATGTAGTTTTGTCATAATAGCCTTCTATTTTAGGAGCTAATTACATATTTCAAGAACAAGTGTGTGTACCAGATTATCTATATTGTTAAAACAGTAAATGAAAGCATCTTCATGGACTATTATGTTTGCATAATATGATGTAGATAATCTTTAGAATTAGCTCAAAAGCAATCTGTTGTTATGGCATGGTTTCCTCTGTAGGGTAGAGGGGATTTTGAGAAATGCAGCTTTTCATGGAGGGGTTAAGAGAAACTGCACCAACTGAAATTCTTACCTATGCAGGAGTCCTAGGGTCTTCCTGTTGCATCTGGTTACTCCTAAGTACAGAGAAGCCTTGCTAGGCTTTATTTTCAGGTAAGTATTTATTTATTTAAAAAAAATTCTATGCCACCCCCATCGCAACAAAGCCTCGGGGCGGCTCACAACAATATTCTATTACTATAGTCTTATAGCCCTATGAGCATGAGCTCTCTGTTGTTGGTTTAATACGGACTATTAAACTTGTTTTTAATCTAGGTATGTACAGTGCACAAGTTGTAGAGAAAAATGGCTTTTTTCTTTCTTTGCTATTTTGAAGAACTAGGGCAGACTTCCCAACCTGGTGTTTCCGAGAAGTTTTAGACTTAAATGCCCATCAAGCCTAGCCAGTATGGTAACTGGTCAGGAATTCTAGGACATATATTGCAAAATATATGGAAGGCTCCAAGTTGGGGGAGGCTGGTTCGATGCATGGCTCCTAACAATACCAGTAAAAAGTAACTGGCCTATTTTGCACATGACAACACAATGGCTGACAGGGATGTGGGGGTATGCTGCCAGGCACACTCCTCTTTCTCACAACCTACTCCTTCATAGTTTGTGCAATGTGATGTGCAAACCTGGAGCACTGGGTTCTTTA